TGGTAAACCGCTATCCTTTTGAAACAATACGACAGATTCGACCCCCTATCTTGAAAAACAAACGCTTATTTGGGTTTGAAGGTTATTGTCGCATATAGTTGGGATTCAGTCGTATACTGTGCCAAAATGGTACATTAAATTTTCTCTATCCACGAAGGACATTAATTGTGGTGACCCCGTCTCAAAGCAGCAGTCCTTTTGGCGGTATGTGCACTGTGCACTGGGAACTATACTCAGTTCACATTGCCCATTTGTTTCAATTAATTTATTCATTTGATATAGTGGGGCCGCGCCATTCAGAATTTTCCATTCCAAAAAATTTTCATTTTCGCACAATTTGATCGAATCAAACATGGATAGTTTTTAGTGTTGCCTCCCCATGGAAACAAATCTGGCTGACCCAGCGTTGTGGAAATGTTATAGACTGCTTGGATGTAGGCCTGCATGTGATTGTCTTGTGGAAAGATTGTGTACATGGTATATTGTCTCTGTATAAAGTCTTTAGTATGATAATACGGTTTTCCTTTTTCTATTGTTTCAGACTGATACGGGTGAAAGGGTGAAATGGTACAGATTTAATGCGTTTATCAACTCGCAGATTATTTAAAAAGAGGCGAGACCTCCGAGTTTAACCTCCATCTCCAAAGGGGCAGAGCCGAAAACCAAACGCTAAACAGGAAATTCGTGTAAAGTGCCGTTCCCAAGGACACGACTTCGGCACGAGCTGGAGCTCGAATCTCCAAACCCACAATCACACGATTACGGGGCCGGTAGCCTTGTCACTATGCTACCGACGCCTCCAGACAGAAAATATTCACAACGAATCTGTGAAAGAAATCGATGAAAGCCTTACAACTCGTAAATTCTTACTTTCTCGAAATCATTAATCCCTTTGAATTCGCCAGATTTGAACTCTGCAACTGGCATTTTGCCACGACACAATTCGGTGAATCCAACTGACAATGTGTACTGGGTACAACATTCACAGTTCTCCGTCCTTTTTTCAAGTTCAGTTTTTATAGCAGTTTTTTAATATTTTTTTTTAATTTTTATTTTACAGGAGATCCCCAAAATATATTATAAAAAACTGAGTGTTGTTACCAAGAAAACAACTTTTGCGTTTAAAGATAGGAATAAAGATAGGAATAAAGATAGGAATAAAGATAGGAATAAAGATAGGAATAAAGATAGGAATAAAGATAGGAATAAAGATAGGAATAAAGTTGTTTTCAAAATTGTTTTCTGGAATATATTGACTTGGGATATTTTTGCAAAGGGCTTGTTTTCTTGGTAACAACGTTCAGTTTTTTAGGGAGTTTCCTGTAAATTTGTACAACCTGCACTTACTGCAGGCCTACTTTTTTAATGACGTCAGAGTTGGTGGCATATTGACTCAAACACCATTTTATGCACACCAAATTAAAAGTGGGAGAGTCAACGATCTGTGGATGTGGACACGACCAAAAGGATGCCAACCATATTCTTCAGCACTGCTCGTACTACGCCACCCTTCGTACACAGACGTGGCAGAATGAGACTCCTCTTGAGAGAAAGCTCTATGGGAGTCTCTCAGAGTTGAAGCGAACAGCACAGTTAGTGCGCGGCATCGGACTGACTGTCTAACTGCTGTCATCGAGAACAAGGAAGAAGAAGAAGGTGGCATATTTGCCACGCGAACTCCCTTTCACCTCCTTTCCTGCTCTCTAGCAATATTCTGTCGTCTAGCTTTCGTCTCCACTTTCTGCTCCCGCCTCCTTACCTCCTTTGTCCCCTCCTCTGGGCTCCGGACTCTTTCTGCAGCCTCTCTACTGCTTCTCCTTGGCTCCTTCTTACTGCTGTCTTTCAGCAATACCCCTGATCTTCCGGTAGGAAAGATCTACACCAAGCTTTCTCGGACAAGGGCGAAAAATCTCGGAGGTTCCGTGTGCAAGTTGAGCCCGTTAAAGATCCCTTTGTGGTCTAAAATCAATAAGAGTAAGATTCGGCTGCCACCCAGGCAAAATTCAAAATATTTTCCTACCAACTGAAAATGTTTTAAAATGTGTCCCGCGCGCTTACATGGCTTCATGTACTTGCGGGCACCGTAAAACGCTTACCAAAAAAAAAAAAAAAGGAAGCTGTTATCAAAGTTGCATCCTTGATAATATTATTGACTTGGGATGTTTGCAAAGAGCTCGTTTTCTTGGTAACAACGTTCAGCTTTTTTACTTTCCTGTAACTTTGTAAAACCTGCATTTACTGTACTTTTAAAAATGACGGCAGAGTTGTTGGCATACTTACCATACGAACTATCCGTCTGCCTCACCCCCTCTTTTCGTGCTCTCTAGCAAAGTTCTGTCGTCTGCTTTCGTCTCCACTTTCTGCCTCCACCCCCTCACCTCCTTTGCTCCCTCCTCTGAGCTTCTGACCCTTTCTGCAGGCTTTCTACTGCTTCTCCTTGGCTCCTTCTTACTGCTGTCTTTTAGCAACATCCCTGATCTTCTGGTAGGAAAGATCTACACTTACAAAGCCTTCTCGGACATATGTGAAAAATCTCGGAGTTCCCGTGTACAAGTTGCGAACGTTAAAGATCCCTTGGTGGTCGAAAATAAAAAAGAATAGGTTTCGGCCACTACCCGGGAAAATTGGAAAGTTCCTACCTACTGAAAATAGTAAATGTGTCCCCCGCGTTCACTTGACCTCATGCAGTAGAGAACGACGTTAAACACTTACCAATTTTTTTTTTAAGCTGAAAAAAAAACAACCAAAAAGAGTTGGTGGCATAC